AGTTGCAGGAATACATTGGCCGCACCGAGCCCGATGTCAAGACGTAGATACGAATCAAGAGACAAGATTATGTAGCGGAAAAAGAAATGCTTGCTTCAGCTGTTCTATGGGTATCTAGCAAACTGTGATCATTGACCAATTCTGCTCTAAGTCTTGTGGTAGTACCTAAGCCGGCACACCAACATCCTCGATCCTTAACAGCCCACTCCCCAGGCCCGCAGCAATCCACCCACCAAGTCGCAGGTTCGGATTCCACGCCACAGCCGTGGCAGCAGACTGCGCCTCATGAATCGTGAGCAAGAGTCCAGGCGGCGGCCGACTCTTGGCCGCACGCTTCTTGCCCCCTCGCCCGGCCTTCTTCGCAGGAGTGGTGGCGGTGGCCTGACTCGTCCTCCCCGGTTTGACGAGGAGCATTGTCTCGGCTCTGAAGCCCTCTACTATCCTTACTAGACCTTTGCCTCCGACGTTGAATTTCTGAGAGTGCGACGAGGAAGTATCAGAGTCGATGTCCATCTGCGGCTCTGCGTCGGTGGCTGGTTCGCTCTGGTCGATGGGGATGTCGATCTTGGGCAGCACGGCCCGGCGCCATTCGTGGTTGAACCACCGCAACACCCACATCTCGCCTTTAGCGTAGACGGCGCGGCGCATGGGGTTCAGCGTCGAGACGTCGCCTCCTACACCGGTCGCTGCGATGAAGGGGTGGCATTCGCTTGCTGCTAGAGCGGTGACTGTGGTACGGAAACGGGCGAGGCCTGTGTATCCGAAGAAGCGACGTAGTGGCAGACCGTGCAACATGCCTGTGTCGTCGCATGTGAGGAGCATCTGTGACCAGTCGTGCCAGGCGAGTGCGACGCGGCCGAGTCGAGATCTGGGACTGAAAACTGTGTTGCTTGGATTGAAACCTGTTGATGTGGTGACTCGAGACAGATCTGTCAAAGACAAGAAGCCTGATACAGAGTTTGTGCATAGCATTTGAGGACGAGACGGATAGCAGGACGTCAAGGAGTTGATGTAGCTTGACTGCAATTGAGAGCAGACCACCGGCTTTGCGGACTGCGAAACCGAAGGGGACTCCAAATGTAGGGGGATGTCAAATACCGCTACTGATCCATTAGACATGCCACCACATATACCATGAGATGACAGCCAAGCAACACTTGTGAACACGCCGTGTGGTGGTCGGGACAAAAATGCGGCTGACCGAAGGGCTAGATATTGTGTTGGAGCTGTGGAGGACGGGACAGTGATATCAAGTATACGGATTGCGCCGTCCGTCCACACGCCAGCTAGGAGGCCGAGATGTTTGCCAGAAAGGCCTTCCTCTGAGTCCATGCGAGGTACAATACACCATTTCAATGACCGGATGTCACCCCCTTCTGTACAGATGACTTGGCGAAGACGTGGAGGTTGATCAAGGTTGATGCCGGCGCTATCGTCGACCCCGATCTGCCAAACTTGGATTGCAGACTTTGCTGGGCGCTGTGGATGGAAAAACGACTGATTCTGGCGTTTCATGTCCGATCCAGCTTCGGCGATATGCTGAAACGGCATCGTAGAGACAGCAAGATACTGAGTGGTCGAATCGTTGTTTGGCGCCCATGCCACAGCCTGGATACGCTCTCCAAGATTCAGAAGCCAACCATTTCTTCGCATGGAGGGTTTCAGAGGAGTTTCGGGATCCTGTCCTTCTGGAATGAAAGGCTCAGTCAGATCCAAGGCACAAGCGTAGGGTAGTTCGATGCTTCTTTGATTGCTTAATGGTCCCATGATGACCTGCTGATCCGTCTTATCCGAGCATAGATACATACTTGCCGTGTCAGCATCGATCTCCTCGGTCAACTGCAGACGCCGGAATGCTTCGTGGCCCTTTCCTTCGTCGTACCATGCCCAGTCCTGGACCATTTCCTTGTTCCGCTGAGCATCGGAGACGTAGAAGGTACGATGATATCCTCCTGCGCCAGATCGGTCGGGTTTGCGACTGGGAAGCACCATCTCGGAACGCCATCTGTAGAAACCTTGAAGTGCAGGTGTCTGGTCCTTAGGATCCGGGCCAAACAGAGAATGACGATTAGATTCCTTGGAAGCCCTTGTTCTCGGGTCCAGAAGTCCACGGGCTTGATAGGGGCCAAATCGAAATGAGGTAGAGTTTGAGCTCTTATAGGGCCAGCGATTGTCCTTGATTGGCGTCTGGCCGGCTTCTGTCGTGTCTTGATCGGGCAGGTCATCGTGAGCTTCATGGTTTTCGTCCGGCTCGTCAAGAAACTCATCATCGTCATAATCATCGTCTGCAAGTGCTGCTACGGAGGCTGAACCTTCAAGAGGCTCGTCGTCAGAGACCTCCGGATCGAAGACATCATTCCCATCTCGGCTGTCCTCGCCCGAAGCTTCGTCTTGTTCTCCAATTTCCTCATCTGAGAGGTCGAAGTCGGTATATGGATTTTGCAGGTAGCGCTGCGACGGTTTCCTGTCTCGAAGTGATCTCGGTGCACTCGGACTGGCTTCTGACATGACTGTGCCTCGGAAAAGGCATTTCTGATATAACCCTACATTGTGAGCGTCTGCAAGTCGGATCGGAGACCTGGTCGGGGGCGAGGTCGAGGTATATGCGGTCCGGTAGGCGAAATGCAGACAACAGCAGAGTCGCACATGACGCAGCTTGACTGTTTCCACTTTCCGAGGTGGAGAGAGGCGGCACGCGCTCGGTATCTCGGTCACATTCACACAACACAACACAACCACCACGCATGGCTTCCACGTAGTTTTATGGCTTTCTCATAGCCGGACCGGTCCTCATTCACTTCCTTATTCACATAGCTTGAACGGACAAAATGGCATCCCTTCCTCCTCAGCAACCGGCACAGCGCCGCACCTCCTCCGATCCTCCACAGGCAGAAGCCTCGTCCCAATCACCCTCGCTATCACACTGGGAGCAACTAGACTATTCGGCCACGTCTACTTCTTCAAGCTCTACCGAGACCGAGACGAAGGCGGCCATATCAAATGAGTCTACTTCTTCTCCCATTGTCAAAACGGACGAGCCTTCTTCCAGGCCCGCTCTTCAGCGGCAAGAGACCGACCTTAAAAAGTGCTGGATTTGCTTTGCAGATGAGTCGGAAGACACCCCAGAGACGTCAGAATGGCGATCACCATGTCCATGCGCATTAGTGGCACACGAAGAATGCCTGCTGGACTGGATAGCAGACATGGAAAGCCCCAGCTCACGGAAACGATCTCTGGCACCACCCAAATTGCTCTGTCCGCAATGCAAGAGTGAGATACGTCTGGCACGGCCCTGGAATCCCCTAGTGGAGCTGGTGAAAGTGGTGGACCGTGTCTCTTCCAAGATCGTCGCGCCGTGTGCTCTACTGGCTGCCATGTCCACAGTAACACAAGCATTCACAGTACACGGGATACACTCGATCTTTGCGGTTTTCGGTCAGAACGACGCCCTTCGTATACTGAATCCATATCTCAACCCCCGGCGGTACCACGAGGTTTGGGACGTACGAGAGTCAGTCAGAGAGGTCACAGACCATTGGCGCCTCTACTTTGGTCTTCCACTCATCACTCCCATGCTCATTCTCTCACGTGCCAGCATAGCAGATAGCATCTTACCGGTCCTTCCCATTGTATTTTTCGCCACCCAGGGAGATGCCACTGAGCAGCCAGCAGACGTCCTGCACTGGCCACCCAGCGCATCCATGACTATGGCCGTGCTTCCATACATGCGCGGCATGTACAACGCTTACTATCGCCGTGTCTGGGGCGCTCATGTGCAACGATGGACACGAGAGATACAACCGCGTGTGAATCAAGGGACGAACGAGAACGAAGGAGCGAATCCACCGGCGGAGAACCGAAATGAGGGAGAAGAGCCGGCCGAGGAAGAAGGTGTGTTTGAGATTCGTGTTGATGGTAATATCTGGAATAACTGGGATGGCGATGAGGAAGATGATGAAGCACCTCACCGTCCCCTGCCGAACGTGCCAGAGCCGCAGCGGGAGGACGACCGCCGTGTTGCAGAGGATCTGTTGAATCCCGAAAGACAATCCAATGCAGACGGTAATGTCCAAGATCCTCCTCAAGCAGAAGCTGTTGTTCCCGAGCAGCCGGTCAACGCCCCCCCTGCTGCACAGCCGGAACAGCAAGCCCCGATCGCTCAAGGCGAGCGACGCCTCTCGATATCAACGTCGGGCCTCGCAGAGCGTGTCCTGGGCGCATTGCTCTTTCCCACCATCGCAGGATTGTCCGGAGAAGTCTTGCGTTTGTGCCTACCCACTTCGTGGACGACAAGCTCTTCTTGGAATCTTGCCGCGTTAGGTGGTTATCGGACCAAATCTGGCAATGACGGTCTGTTGGCCAAGAAATGGGGCCGCAGCATTGTCGGCGGGTGTCTCTTCGTAGTGCTAAAGGACGCAGTGATGCTATATGTGAAGTGGAAGATGGCGCAGCAGCATCGCAAGCGGAGGGTATTGGATTATGAGGGAAAGAGGAAGCGCGGCATAGCGAAGTGAAATGAAGTGAGGAGTATATAGAAGGGCGACGCTTGACGATGGTGCACGACGGCATGGGTAGACAGGAGCGTTGTTGTTACGAGCGAGATACACACCTCTTTATACACTCTTTTGCACGGGCTGACAGTCCTTGGCTCTCTGAGTATGCTGACCGTCCTAAGGTTTGATACAGCGAAACGTAATGGTCGCGTGCACAATCCCGTGTCCCTCTTTGCATGCTCGTCTTGCCGCAGCAGGACGTGCATAACGGCCAGCCCATAGCCTGCATATCACGCTCTCGCGACAACGAGCTTCCCCGCCAATCCCACAGGCGCGGCGACCGAATCACGCTCCGGTCTCTGCTCGACACCAATAACCACAGTCGGGGCTTTCAAAAGTGCGAGTAATGCTGTGATCACATGCTCAATTTCGCATGAGATGTTGAGTAAAAAACATTGGTGTTGCTTGGTATATATATTTTCCAAAGAGCCACTAATGCCATCATCGGCTGCTGTAGCTCAGTGGTTAGAGCGTGGGATTGCAGTTCGTCTCCATGCGACTTATCCTAAGGTCATTAGTTCGACTCTGATTAGCAGCTTTTTTGCCCACTTTTTTATTCTTTAGTTTTTGTCTTCTGTTCAGTGTGCTAGTGAGATGACTTGCTGTGGGTTTGTGTTTAATTGGTGGAGTTATTTTTATTCTCGAACTGGGTTGTCGTGGCATGTGATTGCGACACTGCATGGATGGCGGGTTCACTTTGCTAAATGGTGTCTGACTTGCGCTTGACTACCGCGCGTCGGTCACTGGACGAGCTACGAACGAATACGCGTACAGACAGTGTTTGAAGTGCATGCTTCTCTGCTGTACGGGCATGGATGAATTTGTATTCAAGCATGTATCCAGGGGCACGTGCTCGTCCTGCACGATTCTGATCTAGGCGACTGGAGTTTTGCATCCTACGCAGAGCATTACAACACTCCTCCAAACAGTCTATATAACCTTTTTCCCGTCATCTGCTTCATTAGTTCCGCCTTTGCGCATGGCTGACACTATGACTTGTGCTCCTGCGCCGCCATCCTGTCATGCTCATCAATGTCCATGGCCTCCCAGGGGTAGTTGATCCAGACATCGCCACAGGTGACAGCAGCGATATAGCGGTTCTCTGCAATATCACCAGGCAATTGGCCCTTCTTCGGCTTGTCCTTGTTGTGCAGGACGAAGATGCTGAACTTTGTCTGCTCGCCTGCCCGGCCAAGCTTCTGCGTCGCGATCTCCACATCCTTCTGCAGCTCCTTCACGGCGTACTCAAGAGTAGTGCGGGTGTCATCTACCTCGTCCACAATCAAGACGTTCTTGCCGATCAGGTTGGCCATCTCGAGCGAGCTCAGATCCAGCCATTGCGTGCGCGTGACCTTGGTCCCCGGCTCTTCCACCTCCGTGTCGGTACCCAGCGATTCGTACAACGACAGACCAATTGCTTGGATAGGAATATTGGGCGATCCGGGGCGCTTGAGAAACGAACGGAGGATACGCGCAGGCACATAACCACCGCCGCCAATGGCGATCATGAGGTTGGGCTTGAACTCATTGAGAATGCGGTCCGCAGACTCCTGGCACAGCTTGTGCACCTGCACGGCGAGGTCAGTCGAGAGTTGTTCGAGTGCACGCGGCGCAGAGCAAACGGGCCGAAAGGGTAGGGCGAGAGAGGCCGCATGGGGGAGAGTCACTAACCTGGTTGTATGTGACGTAGGTTTTCTGGACCATGGTGGAGAAGAGGGACAGGGGAGAGTCCCGGTCTGTGGAGAGCAAAAGGGGACCTGGTAGGACTTGTACGCAATAGCGCAAGAGCAGCAGCAAGCAGACGTGGTAGTGATTATTGACTGCTGTGAAAGTGTGGACTGGCGGGACGACGGTGGTGGTGGGATGGTGGGGAGTCAATTCATTGCCAGCCCGGCCAAAATTGTGTCTGCCTCTCCGCGGATTTTTTTTTCCTGACCATCATTTCGGTAAAAAGACCGCACGACGTGTTCTGGGTTGGCGGGTTTCCGTCTCCGTCCGTCTCGGCGCGATGCGGGGCAAGCACCACACGCCAGAAAATCAGGCAAACAGCGGCCAGCCATCAACTGTCACTCATTTGGCCTGGATGCAAATTCGCGTTCACATGCTCAGAAACTTGGGCAATATCAGAGCAAGAACAAACTGCCACGGACGAGGTGCGCAATCCTTGGCGCATCTCGACAACACCCGACGGTCGAGTTCCGGGCTGCAATGCACCAGTCGTCCGAAATGGATCTGCCGCCTACATCGAACGTGTAAATGGATTGTTTGTTCTAAGGATCCTTCCATGCAACGCTGCCCGCTCTTCGACAGACATGCTGGCGACATCCTGGCGCACCCCGCAGGCACACTTATTGCTGTGCTGTGTGTTGAACCCTCTGCCGCCTTTTTCTGCATTGTCCTCGCCCCTCGCCGTGATCAAAGCTCAGGCTTGCAGCTCTAGCTCGACTGGGGACGGCCGCCGCAATCTATTTTGTTGCGTCCATCTACTCAGCTCCGCCCCGACTGTCAGCCCTGTGTCGCGGTGGCTGTCTCGTGGAAAGCAAGAAGACTCAGAGTCTTTCTTTTCATCGGATTCAAGAAAGTTCGTCCAAGACATGGAGCTGGACAATCATCCAGGACGTAAAACGGCGGAGGGGCGGCCGCCAATGGCCGATTGATGCAAGCAACAGTCGATCCAACAAGAGACTTTGTTAGGCGGGCGGCGCAGCACGTCCCTGCCCGTTGCTCTTGACCCCACTGCAGGTCCTCGGAATCGCACCGCCTGCTTGGACATGACCCCATAAACGTGGAGCAGGATCTCATTCACGGATGGGGCCGTTCCTGACCTCCGCTCGCTACCATTGAGATTCATATCTTCGGACTGTGTGGACAAATGGGAATACATACCACACGTAAAGGCAAGGCTACCCATTTTCGATCCTCTGCGATCCTTCGTATGTCTATCAATTGGTTCGTTGCAAACCACTGCCGTCAGGGTGCCGCCTAAAGAGACGGCGGGCGCTAGCGTCAGCTCGGAGCGCCACAAAAGTGAACCTTTCTCGTGCTCGGTCCGCGAGCCAGCGCAGCCTCGACCTCTAACGCATCGATGAAATGGCTCAGTGCTGGAAGCCTGAAGGATCTACCTCGAGAATTCTATGACCAACTCGTGCAGCCTCGCACGGGTAGGAATGAAACTTCAACGACATCGGAATGGCTTCCCTGATCTCCATGCCTGCCGTGCGCCGGCTTACCACTCAGCGCTCACCGTGCGCGCATACCCACATATGGAATGCCACCATTAACCGGGGAAACCGATCTCCTTTGACGTGATAAGATGGTGTCTGGTTCCAGGAACCGTCCCACTTCCTCCTGTCTCTCGACTTTGTCCACCCTCTTCACGATTCTCGGCGTAATTGGACAACCTGGGTGGGACCAATGGCATCGACTATCGATGGTCACACTGCAAGCATTGCAACATATGTCTGCAGTGCCTTTTCAGCTACGATTCTGATAGCGCGCCTGTCTGTTTCCAGATTCCAACCAAAGCCTTTCGACGCAAGCTTCTGGGTCACCCTGCTCGCTTTACTGGTTGTGCTGTCAAGGGTCGTCGTGAGCTACTATGTACTCAAATACGATACCGTCAGCGATGCGCTTAACAAGAAGGGTTCTGGTGGCAAGCTTACACCGCACGAGATGGAAAACCTCAAGCGCGGATCGATCTTGTCACTAGTACTCCGGTTACTACTCACGACGGCTCTCTGGCTAATGTGCTCGCTTCTGTTGCTGCTCTACAGACGCTTCATTCGCCATCTGCCATGGATGAAATACGCCATCACAGGGACATGGGTGTTTATCGGTCTGAGTTACGTCGGTGTCGTCCTCGCCACATTCCTCGAATGCCGGCCATTCAGTCTATACTGGCAGGTTTACCCAAACCCCGGCTCATGTATCAAGGAATACGTCCAAATCACCCTCCAAGCAGTGACGAACATCATCATCGACCTCATCCTAATGGGCATCTCTCTTCCGATAGTCTTCGTCCAAGCCCAACGAGCAGCCCACAGACTCAAGCTCATAGCCCTAATATCCCTCGGCGTATTCTGCATCATAATCACCACCCTAAGACTAGCATACACCTTCCAGTCCTCCTCAATGCAACCAGCCCGGACCTTCTGGGCCTCCATCTCAGTACTGGTAGCGACGTTCGTCGCCAATGCGCCCGTGCTCTACGGCGCCATCCGTCTGCGCAAGCGAGAGAAGCTCTCGTCGCGCAGCCGCTCATATCCGGCGAATGTATCGCTCCGCACGAGGAATACCCAGCGCACAGGGCAGGGAAACACGTTTGCCGACGACGAGTTGGCGATCGTCAAACACACCGTCGTCATGCAGACTGAACATATGAATTTCGGAACGGGGGAGAGCGGACATAGTGCTTCTGTTGAACACGCTGAGGTGTGAAGAGAAAGAGGAGGGGTTGTATATATATCATAAACAAGGGAAAGGCATAAGCGATTAGGATATTTCGGGAAAATGGATCATAATGTTTGACACTTGCAATCTGTACATGCATCGTTCACATCTGAGCACAAGTCACCGTGACAGAAGAACCAATAACAGGGAGCGAGCATGAGACAGCATGTCATGACGAGGTCGCTACAACCACTAGCATAAGATGAACGGGCCCACTCACCACCCCTCAATCCCCATGTTTACCAAAGCGAAACCCTCCGACGCTGTACCACCACGACCGCCGCACCGGCAGACGACATCAAAGCGGCATATTCGACGAGGAGCAAGCCGCACTAGAACCCGCCTCCACCACCACCAGGCGCGCTCGCCATGCCGCCAATAGCCCCGAACCCACCTCTGGGAGGTCCGAAGCCGCCTACGACGGGGAGACTGTTGCCGGGAACGGGGCTGCCTATCTCGCCGAGTTGGTTTGGCGGACGCGCGGAGTCGGATTCGAACATGACTGCGAATGACGAGGGGCCGGAGCGCCTCACGTGCAGCAGGCCGCCGCCGTTGAGGTTGTCGCCTTCGGTCTCGCAGATGTCTTCGATTTCTTTGAGCGAGGGCGGTGCTTCGAGGGCCATTGATGCGCCGGAGCGGTCCATGTGCTGCAGGATCAGCGATACGTCGTGGTACTCTGTGTTGTTCGGATTGGGAATGTTTGACGACAGCTGGCGACAGGCGTTGCATACTGCGAGACGGACGGCGCGAGGTCGATTGGGTACCGTACCGCGAGGACCTGTTCCGAGTGGATTGAAGTTGCTTGTCCAGCTGTTCGATCCCAACCCTGCGTTCCAATTCGGTGTCGGCATGCCAGGCGGTGCGGGTCCAAAGGCGTGAGGTGACGACCATGTGCTCGGACTGGCTCCAAATCCAGGTGCACTGCCAAACAATGGCGAGGAAAATCCAGCGGGAGCACCACGTCCAGCGCCCATCGGATTACTGGCACGTCGGAGCTCGATCGGAGTAGGTATTGGATCGTCCGCATCGTCAAGCAATGCACGGCTGCCCAAATGCCTGTTCAGGTCATCCATCTCAGATGAACCGTCA